GAACCCACAACCTCAGCCCTGGCTGAGGTTGTGGCGGTGTGCACTTATGCCAACAGACTATAATGGCTGGGCTGCGGGAAGTCATACCAATACTAAACCCACAGTTGTTTTCCAGCTCACTGAGCTCGAAAAAGGAGCTGGGAGAGCTGGGTGGAGCTGGGAACATCCAGCTCCACCCATTTTTCCATTCCAAATGGAGGATGTGAACGTTTTTTCCTCCATTTATAATGGAAGAATTGGAGTGACACAGGTGAAAATGGTCCTTCCGACATCCGCCAGGGTGCAATTGAACTGCTCAATGGCTCCGTTCTGGTAGTGATGATAGGGCAGTGCCCTTTCTGCCTTTATGCCTTTTGCTTTGGTAAAAAACATCAGTACGTCACTGGAGAATTCTCCCCCATTGTCTGTACGTAGAATTTTTACCAGAGACCCTGTTTGTCTCTCCCATCTTGTGATCGTCTCGATGACCAAGTTCGCAGCCAGGTCTTTGGAGGCCATGACTTTGGCTTCGCTGAAACCGGTGGCAACATCACAGATGGTCAGCAGGAACCTGCCTTTGTTGAAGGTGTCCACTTCGAAAGGGCCGACAATATCTGCTGTAACTGTTTCAAGCTTGTTAACAATTCGGTCAGTAGTAGATAGCCGGTTCTTGTTTAGGCTTTTGCTCCTAGCGCAAATGTCGCACTTCACATCTCCTTTTGGGAGGGAGAGAGGGAGGTTGCTGCATAAATTTTCTTGTATCACTTGCCAAATCTTCTTAATGCTTGCATGACCAAAATACATGTGCCAAAACAATAGAACGTGCTCATCTCTGTTGAGATTGTCAGTTTTCATGGGGGAGTAATTGTCAATGTTCAATGGTGTCACAAAAGTGCCGCGTCTCAAATCAACTCGCACATCAGTAGAGATGGGGCAGGAATGCGGTTGTTCCAATGGTAGAAAATTGAATATTTCATTGCGGTTCATAACAGGGGAATCATGCGGGACAGCTTTAGCAGACAAGAAATGAGAAGAGAAAGGGCGACGGTTCAGATGGAACGTAGAAGGATCGAGGGGTTTTGGGAATATCCATTTGTTCTGCGCCGGGATAAAAGGGCAGCGGAACAGCAAAGTTTTATTGGGGTCGTAGATGCAGTAGCAGTCCTGATTTACGTCATACGCAAAGAACGCATTAGCCTTGCAAAGAGCAGCTAGGGATATGAGCGTTGAGTGGGCAAGCTCACAGTACAAAACCCCGTGTATTGTCACACGTTGATTGTCAATTCCAGAGAATATAAGGTCACCCTTGCCGGTGATAAAATATTGATTGCCAGACGTGGCTACTTTCAAAGGAATGGGACGGGAGAAAGAACAGAAATTAGACAAAAGTTTGAAATCACCGCATAAGTGGTGAGATGCACCTGAGTCTACGATGGGCGCATCGTCACTTCTCCCAGCCTCAAAGTGATCAAAACGGATGTTCGCCAGATCCTCCGTGAGGTCTCTGAGCTCAACCATCCGCGCGGTGGATTCACCTTCATTTGGGCTTTCGGCTCGTGCCTCATTTGCAGACGGACGGTTGCTCCGCTGTGTGGCTGAGGAGTCTTGAGAAGGGTTGACCCGCTGAAGTTGGTATTGTGGAGGTCGGTAGTAGTCGGCCGCGCGATTTGGTTGTTGACTGTTTGTCAGCTCCTGTCTCTTATGTGACTAGGAGTTGATGGGTAATGGTCACACTTTAGCCAAGAGGGCCAGTGGAAATTAGCCTCGCCTCGACACTTATAAAGTGGAGGGGCTAGCTCCTTATGATTATAAGGGACAACAGTGGAATGAGCTTCACTGTGCCTGAGCTGAAGGAGGATGATAAGAATAGAGTTTAACTAGTCTATAAGTAATTACTTACCTCTTATAGACTAGTTCTGAAGATAAAGGAAGTTATACAACTGTTTGTAATAGACTATTGTAATAAAACCCCACTCACTATTTGTAATATCTAGTAAGGTGATTGGGTTTGTATGGTAATAATGTCTGAGGGATGAATCTCAGGGGGAGAGGCACCCTCTTAAATATTACAGAGCAGGGGCAACGGTGGGCCAGCTACGCTAACTGTAGCCTTAGCGTAGCGTAGTGTAGCGAAAAATCGCTACAATGTAGCGTAGCGTTAGCGCTTTTTTCATTTTCAGCGCTAACGCTACGCGCACGGGGCAAAACAATGCGCTAACGTTTAGCGTAGCGTTAGCGCAATTCTCCCCATCTGCGCTAACGCTACGCGCACAGGGCGCAAAAAACCGCCCGCTACGCTGCGCTACAGCAGTTTTTAGCGGTTTTTTGGCGTTTTTTGCCGCTAAAAACGCTGTAGCGTAGCGTAACGCAGCGTAGCGGCGCCAGCGAGGCGCTAACACTACACCAAAAAATGGCTAGTGTTAGCGCCGCTACAAGTTAGCGTAGCGCAGCGGCCGTAGCGGCGCGCTAACACTACACAAAAAAAAAAAAAAATGGCGCCGCTACGCTAACGCTACATGGGCCCGTAGCATAGTGTAGCGTAGCGGCCCACCGCTGGCAGGGGTCAATCTGCTGCTGGGACCGGTGCAGTCCCCTTATTGTTACACTTTTCCTTGGGGGAAGTGTCAGGATATTCAGAGCATGCTAAATGTACATGTGCTGAATATCCTTTATTTCAGAAAATACTATAAGAGAGATAAACATAATAATCATAAACCCAAGAGAGGTAGATAGGATAATCGTCTCTTGGATACACCCAGGAGATAATTGTCCTTTTCAACCTGATTATAATTTTCATGGAAGAGGTAAATTAATAAAGAGGTGAATCTTTATTAATTTACAGAATAATTATTTACATAAAAAATACATGTAAAAAGGGATAACATTACTTTATAATTATTAACTTAAAGATTACATATAATAATAATTATTATGTAACCCAAGGGGGGTTACATTCTATTGTAGACACCTGGGCCAGTGTCTCAGTGTCTGACACTGTTGCTCAGAGGTGCAGGGGTTTGCTGGGTGTGGGGCATTGGTTGGGACTGGGGATATACACCCGTAAAGCCCGGGGGTGTGACGATGGGGTAGAAAGACTGGAACCCTCCGTTTGGACCTTGTTGGGTCAGTGGATGAGCCTGCTGTGGACCGCGGAACCTACCCTTGTTGCTGCCACCACGTGCTCTCAGTGGGCAGTTGCGCAGGAGATGCTCCGGGGACCTGCACATCCAGCAGAGTCCTGCTTGCATCACCATGTAGTCTTGAGTGCCAGGGGTGTTGTCGGGATGGCTGGGGAACATCGGCAGGTTGGCGTCCGAGGGCGGTGTGGGGTTGGTCTCGGCGTTCTGGACTGATGCTTGCATGGCGAGAGGTTGTGGTTGAGTCGGACCGCGGTTTGATGACTGGAATTGTTGCTGTCGGCGGATAACGTCAACCAGTCTCACCATTCCTTCAAACGACATGGGCAAGCGTTTGGGTGCCAAAAATTGGAAGTCGGTTTCGATTCTCCTGTTGAATTCATCTTGAAGTTCCGGTTCTGATGACAAGCCGTTTTGCAGAACAAGGCCCGCCAAGTAGTCGCGTGTGAACTTCACACCTGAGTCTTCCATCTCATTGAGGATGTCGCTGATATGAGAGGACATTTGAGCCGTGGATGGGTGATCGGCAACATTGAATGCTATCATCCGGCGGTACAGATTGACTTGTGCGGTGTGGTAAGCCAATCCTGAACCTCAAGACACAGCAAGACTACATATCACACAAGAATCACAGACCCAAGACCCCACAGGAATTCCCCAGGCCCTCAAACGAATCCAACACACCAGTCATCCACACAATTGCCCCCCCCTCATGGATAATAACATCTCCCACACCTCTGAAGATCCTCAAATGAAACCCATGACCAAATTCCTAGTTCACTCTTGATAAGACCCAGCTCACACAACAACTACACACTAGTACCCCCTCTCAATATAACCTCAAACCCTTCTAAAAATATTCCTCATCTCTTATCTCCTTCCATCTTATGCCAAGAATTCCCACACAACAGCTATGTTTCATACTACTTCTCTTTTGGCCCTTTCTTCCCATTGTCTGTTCAATCCCCATCTGGGTGAAATAATTACCCCCACCTCTTCCCCTTGATAATATTATCCAAGCCTCTCTCTGTTTCAGACTGAATTCATTATCTTATCTTAGCTTGGCCCCTTTCTTTGGTTTCAGTCCAGTCTTATCTTATCTTAGTGTCACACTAAATTAGGCCACATTATTCATAGTTACAATTTTGTTCCTTGTTCATTCTTTGTTCCATTTGGTTCCATCCATCTTCCAACCACAAACTGGCCACTCCCCAGAATCTTGTATATAAGGAGCTTTGTTTTCCCCTCTTGATTTGTTCCTCATCAGAGCCTGCCCCAGCAATTCAGATAACTGATCACCCATTATTAGCCAGGTATTTGCCCATCAACATTTGGGATACCTTGATTTGTGACAAGTTTATTTAGACTAGTAACCATAAGAAATATTAGACATACCATCCTCAAGAAATCTCCACAGCCACACCTTTTTCCTTAAGAGTCCATACTCTTATATTTTCTTGTTATCAGAGAGGCAGCCCAATAAAGCACTCATCCCTCTCAAGCTCTATTCCTCCCAAGAGTAGTTCCACAGCGGCTTGGCTGACTGAATGAAATCTCGCATGTAGGTCGAAAAACATCGCATGCGCTGTTGCGTGTCTAGAGACCCCTCGGCGGAGTGATTGATGTATCGAGCTGACAAGTAATGCTTGGCCAACGCGCTCATGCAGGAGGTTTTGAGCCGGTCGGTTGAAAAACAAAACCACACCAGTCGAACCCCTCATTCGTTCTTTGATGAAGTCTTCCCATGCGGCGAAATTTGACCTGTCCGCTTGTAGGAGATCTTCCTCGTTGATGTGGTTGCTTGCCGACGAGATGAGGTTTGCTGCCAGGCGGTCGAATTCGACTTGTTGGATCTTGGCCGCTTGATCATCCGATCCCGACGTCCGACGAGATTCACGTTGGCCCCCCAGCCATTTCGGTGTTACTGGTGCTTGGGACATGGGGAGGTGCTTCTTTCTTCGAGCTTTCGGGTAGGGTGATCTGTTGGGTGTTTGGAGTGGATGTGGCAGGGTGTTCAGGGGTGGATGGGTGCTTGGCTTTGCTCATGGTTGAGGAATGGGTAAGGGTGGGATTATGGGGAAAAGGGAAGGAGTAGAGGATGTTTGGGAGGGTTGGGGAAGGGGAAAAGAACAGGGAAAAGGGAAAAAAAAAGATTGGGGAAAGGTAAGAAACGGTGTGGTGGGGAAAAAAAAGGAGTGTAAGGAAGATGCGTTGAACGGGGTGGGTTTAGGATGGGAAGTTGTGGGGAATGAGATTTAGGGTAGTGAAAACAAGAAAAAAATCTGGGGATAGGGTGGGGTTGTGGGGAATGTGTAGAAGTGAAGGGGGGAAAACAATGATAAAGAGAACGGAAGGGAAGAATGTGATCGGAAAAGGAAAAAAACGGAGGTAGTGGAGGAAAGGATATCGAGGGTATGCCGGATGTGTCGGAACCTTACGCAGGTGTACACTTGTTCGGCCCCTTAATCTAGCGTCCTAGATAAGGTATACTCCAGATAGCTAGTCTGGAGCAGCTTAATCAGCAGTAACGTCCTGGGTTAAGGTTATAGGAGAGGAGTCAAGAATGTTGGGATATGATCAAGAAGGGTTCAAAAACGGTGATAATGAAAGATAATGTTCAGGTTGATTACGTCCTACGCTGGACTACCTAGAAGATTCAGCAAGGTCGATTACGCTCTACTCTGAGCTACCTTTGGTTTGTTGTATAGAATAAGCAGAGATATTTTAAGGACTCATAACCTGATGGAACATGAGACGGTGAAGCACTCAAGAGTGTGTGTATTGCATGTAGATGAATGTGGAACAGGTTTATATACATGCTTTTACAGGGGGCTAACGGGTGGTTAGGTGAGTTTGTCTGGTAACCCAGAGCTGGGTTCCAACAGATGAATATTACATGAGTGGTGTGAGATTGTGTGACAGCTGCAAGGAAGAATAACAAGTGACGTAGCAACAGGACCAGCCCAGAAGCTACATATGTCAAGTGTCATAAGATAGTGAAGTTGTGTGTATACCTGTACTATAATGGTGTGAGTATGTAGTTGTCCTGCAACGTGCATGTGTGTAGTGTGAATTATGTAATTTGTTGAGGTTGTCAAGTGTTGAAGTGTTGCCATGGTGGTGTGTTGTGATGGTCCAGAGGGTGTAGCTTCCAATCCAGTTGAGTTCCAGTGACGCCTCCAGTGGTGACCAAGGGTGAAATTGACCATAGAATCCAGTTCTTGAGCCATATTGGGTGATTTGTGAGTGTGTATATGAGAAAAAATGTGTAATTGTGTAATAAAAAGAAAAAATGTAAAAAATTTTAAACGGGCCAGATGGCTACCCTTAAGGTATACCACAGCGGATATCCCCTATCCGCTGGCGGATACCCCCCATCGCCAACAGACACCCACCAGAGGATTTGGATTTGGGTGTGGATGCCCAATTTTCCTCAAAATCCTTGCGGGTATCTGGGTATCCCCAGGGATACCTGTCAGACAAACCCTCTTGGCCTGGAGACTGTACCGTCTTGAGGCTGACAAGGCACATGAGATACATGTGCCTCATTGACTAGAAGGGTTTCCTTCCAGTTGACGAGGTACATGTGCCTCGTCAGCTGGAAGGAAGACCTGAGCAGATATCTGGATGCGGCGGGGCCATCTCTATAAATAGCTATGTCCACTTATTTGTTAACAAAAGCGAACTGTTCATGTATTAGGGGGGGTTCACAATTGAACTTGTAAGGCATTTTTAAGGTGTTTCTGATTGATAATTTATAGGTATTTTTTGTGATGTGTAGATAGTTCATGTGAACCACTAAATCTGGAAACCGCAAAACTATACATATCTATAGGGGCTTGGTTAAACGACTCCCAAAAAGTGGAGAGCCGACTCCCAAGCCCCGGAATCCCCGAATTTTGGGAGTCGAACCCCCAAAACCTTTGACTGGTTTGGGAGTCGACTCCCCAAAAAAAAATATTAAAAAAAAAGCCATCCCCCGGTCGGTTTAGGAGTCGATCCTCCAAAACCGACCAGGGTTTGGGGGTCGGCGGCCGGGAGGAATCTTCCCGGCCGCTGGGAGTACACTCCCGGCGGCCGAGGGAGAACACCTCGGCCCTCGGCCACTGAGAGTACACTCTCGATGGCCGAGGGTGTACCTCTCAGCCATCGAGGGTATACACCTCGATGTCCGAGAGAAATCTCTCTCGGCCGCCGGAGGGGAGAATTAACATTCTTCACGGGCGGATG